GATAAGTTTATTTTCAATTTAAACATAAAACAGCATTTTAATAACAGCTGAAGGTGACATAGATACTTTATGGTATTTAAATATATGCCTGAGAAACACATAATATTGACACTTTAAAAATAGGAGAAAAAAAACAAAAATACACTAAACCGTATTTTGTTATTTCGTAACAAGCCATAAATACAAAAAAAAAAAAACATAAGAAAAGAATATGTGACTTTTTACAAACATTACAAAATATTTTCCAAATGACAAAAAGAAAACCTATAATCTCAGTGTTTCTGTAAACAGCAGGCAGTCTGTCTCACAGGTACATGTTGACCCTCTTTATCTTGCTGTTTTTCCATCAGATGACAGTGTGAGTCTCCTGTCTGCTTCCTGTTTGGGTTAGATTACTGAGGATTTTTTTTCCAAGGAATATGCTGGTGAAGATTCTCACTAATCCAGGTTATGAATCAATCAATCAAAAGCAAAAAAAGTCTAAAAAACAAAAACAACTGGACTTTTATTTTGAAGCTGAAGACGTTTCACTTCCCCTCCAGGAAGCAGTCTCATTTCAAAATGAGATTCATTTTGAAAAATGTTATCAGTTTCAGAATAAAAGTCCAGTTTTTTGTTTTTTAACTATCTTTTGGTCTTTCCAAAAAAGGTAAAAATAAGAAATTTTAAGTTCTGACTCGGTGAGCTCATTGAGCCCAGCAGGATCGTGCTGGGTTCAGAACTAAGAATCACTCACATCTCCTCTTTGCACAGTTTATTTTTCAGCAGAGGTTCTTAATAACTTTGCGGAGAACACGTTTGCCAGCACACGTGCGTCATTTCTTTCATCCGCCGTTCACTGCTGACATCATGTTTCAGTCACATGCACTCAGACAGATGCTGTCGTAACCTCAGAGAACCGACTTCCTGCGTGTTTTTGGCCAGGCTGCGGCATGAATCACACCTTAACTATGTAAAGGTTGTTCTGGCGCGTCCCTCAAGGTAGCTTTGCAATGAATACATCACTTCAGGCATTTCAAAACGGTTTTCCTTTTGTGAGATGTTTTCCACTATCAGTTCATCTTCTGACTGAACTGTTTGTCGGATTTTATCCTCCTGAAGGGTTTTTACACAAGACACTCTAAATTGTTTAAATTTAAGCCGTAAAGTGAGATGTTATGCGTATTGCACAGTGTGAGCATTGTTTTTTCTAATCTCAAGCGTTTCTTTAAAAGTTTCCATCTGTTGATAATATGACAAAAATGTTACCACAAGTTTGTTTCTCTGTGCCGGTAATGACGTGCGTTTGTCTCCATTCAGTGCCTCATTATCGGAGGAGGTCCCTGCGGCCTACGGACTGCCATAGAGCTCGCCCTGATGGGTGCCAAAGTGGTGGTCATTGAGAAGAGGGACTCTTTCTCGAGGAACAACGTGCTCCATTTCTGGCCCTTTACTATCCATGACCTGCGGGGTCTTGGGGCCAAAAAGTTTTACGGAAAGTTCTGTGCTGGAGCCATAGACCACATCAGTAAGTATTCAAAGTTACAGAAGTTTTCATGTTAGCATATACACTCACCGGCCACTTTATTAGGTACACCACGCTAGTAACGGTTTTGTGGTCATAAAGGGATGGACATGGTCAGCAACAATACTCAGGTAGGCTGTGGCGTTGCAACGATGCTCAATTGGTACCAAGGGGCCCAAAGAGTGCCAAGAAACCCCACACCATGACACCACCACCACACC